CCCGTTAACTAAATATAAAATACTTGGTGCATATAAATTTAATTACTTTAGGTCATATTGATATTTCAAATATTGATACCTAATCATTTCATTATACTAAAACACATATCATCCATAGAAATTAAAGGCTTCTTACATTATAAATATGCGTAAGAATACATTAAACAAAAGAGTTTACTAATGTTCTTACATCATATATCTTGCAAATTGCTTTGAAAATCTTATGTCAAGAATTTATTTTGGGTTAAAAACTTAACAAGGATTTCATATTATTACACATAAATAATAAGATATGTAAGCATTAATCATTATTTCATCTTCTTATTCTTAGGTTTATACTTGTTTATACTTATAGAAAATTAAAGCATTTACATATACATAATTCTTATTTGTGTATTTATAACTAATTTTATCGGTTATCAATATTTTAAGTGCATACTACAAGACCAACTTGAATAGAGCAAATAACATGCTACTTGTTCTTCAACCTTTTATCAGATATATGTGAAGTTAGGGACACCCAAACAAATATTGTTATATCTCATATGGTTTATACACGAGGAAAAAATACCCATAATTAATAATGTGTGTGTGTGCGCGCGTGTGCGTCTGTGTGTGAAGTTAGAGACTTCCACTCAAATAATACTCTACTTCTTCTGACCGAGAAAAGAGCACATAGAAGTAGCAACTCACACGAGCAAAATATATCCATAATAATGTGTATGTGTGTGTGCACGAACGCGTGCATTCTTAAATGTAAGAGAATTATCTTCTTTAAAAGTATATCAAGTATAAAAATGAATATTCTTTCAAGAATAATAAATTATTCAAAAAAACATATATATTTATCGATTCATTAATGATAAATATTTTAAAAAATGAAAAATAAATAACTATTTATTTTTCATATTAATTTATTAGAATTATTTTATTTACTAAATATAAATAAATAAGTATTATTATTTATTTTATATGGTATTCTAAATGTCAAATTAATAAATACAATAAAGATTAGTTATCTAAATGTTCCAAAATTTATGAAGCTAAGCAATAAAGTTATATACAAAAACTTCAAGCATTAAATTCTATCTCTAACTTTCTAACATATATAAATGCTTCATAAAACATCTTAATATATTATCGAAAGAACAAATTATTGCATAATATCTCTGAAAATTTATTAGAATTATTTGATTACCATTCAATTTTATAAGACATATTTTGACACAATCCATCAATTAATATAATGATAGTCCATTAGAATGTGATTTCAAAAAAAAAAAAAACGAGCTATTTGTTAAAATAAGTAGTTTAGAAAATATAAATAATTAATCTTATAAATTCATCATATGCTTCATCAAATATATTCTATGAATCTAACATGCATAGTTTAAAATAACATAACAAATTATAGAGTTATGATATTACAAAACTACTTAAATGTGAGCCACGTTTTAATCAATAAGAAGGCATTTTTAATGAACAAGTAAAATATTGGGAAATAATCAAATGAATTATGGAATATAATTTTCTTATTTAAAGACCAATAAAAATAAGGAGTCTTTTTGTTGTCTTAAAGATAGATGTTGATAAATAATAAAAAAAATAAATAAAGGTATAAATAAATCAAAGTTGATGGCTTGTGAGTTAGTTTGGGCTCGACTTAACAAATGACCTAGTTAGAGCAAGATTAGTTAACAAATTAAGTTTATGTCAGCCTCAACTCTACTCATCAACTTATGAGTTGACTCATTCAAAAATATACTTAATTTAAATTAGAATCGAATTATTTAAGTAGCTCAAGTTTTTTAACAATATTTAGATATTTCCTTTATGTCATTATCTCAAATTTAATTTTTCATTTTTTATCAATTTAGTTTAATAATTGCTACCAATAAATTCATTAGATTATTTTATAGCAAAAGAGAGCTCATGAGCATACTTGAACTCAAAATTTAACTCAAATTTAAATCTCAAAATTGATTAATTGATCAAGCCCAAATTCAATTTAGAAGTAAAAAACAAATGATATATAATAATTCACTTTGTCATCAAGTGTTTGATGGATCACAATGCTTTGAACTTTCAATGTTTTTTTATTAAAAATCTTGAATGATAAGAAGAGCTATGTATTAGACTTTAATTATGTAATACAAATAACTTTTAATAAGAAATGCTTGCTTTTTTATGATTTTGACACTTTTGGATTGTTGATAAAATAGCACCCTTGCCAAGAATTGAGTTCATCCCCTTTCCTTTTTCCCCTCATACTCAAATTACGTTTTTTCTCTTTTTTAACTCCCAATAAGTGGATAAGTAAATAAAACACTACTTTAAAGCCCCTAATATTGAATGCCTACACAATATAATTATTATATGATCAACTCTATCCAAGATCGAGTACGTGTCTTAGGTGGAAGAGGCTGTGAGAGATATTTCACAAGGTTTCCCATAAGTTGATGAATTAGATAAAGTGCACCAATCTGAGTCTACTGACGAGAGGCAATGTCTTGTCCAGATCGAGATCAGTGATATAGCGAAAACTTCATCTAGTTCCTCAAAGCTTGTAATAGAGATAGATGATGGTGACCACTGCACTAGTATCGACCCTTCAAAAAGACTTAGTGGCAACTTCATGCTTTCATGAAGAGGTGATGGCATACCCATGCGGTTGAGAGTGGAAGACAGAGTGGAAGACCAATGAACTAAAGTTGGCATGACAAGGGCAGCTACAAAAGCAGATAGACATGACTTGATTAATTAAATAAATAATGGACTTCTCTTGTTGAGGCGATGGGAGCCCTTCACAAATTTGCTTAATGAGATTCTGAGAGTATGCTTGATCCGACCAATTCTTATTTGGCGTTGATTTTGTTTTGAAGGTTTATGGAGTAGTTGATATATTTTGATTGTGGAAGCCTTAGGGCAGAATTTTTAGCTCTTTCAAAAGACTTATTTTTGAAGAGCCATTTTCAAGCCTCTCATCTGCGTGTTATATATAAAAATAAGGAAATAAAGCAACCAATTAATTGAATCACAATAGTTTATTTTAATAGATTGTGATATGAAATATGCATTTTTTGTGTGTTCGTAAAAATGGGGAATGTTCTCAAAAATAAAAACTGCCTTTGAAATTAATTTAAAATTCAGGTTCTTGATTTTTAAAAGACATGTTGTTAAGCTCAAGGTTGTTTCCCGGATTATCTTAAATATTCATTCTCCAATAAATATGTGGGTACTTAATTATTAGCCGAACATTTCCCTTGGTCATTGCTTCCTCAAACTTTATTCATCCTGTTCATTTGCATCTTCTTTATTCCCTCCAATGGCGTCTCTTTCAAAGCGAAGAGATGGGTTCCTCTGCAGCACGATGGCTAGTCCTTCCAATCTATCAGGGAGAAACTTAAATGCTTCTATAGATTTAAGTGCATTTTGGCGATAAACATAAACTCTTAGCCTCCACACATGGTGCATATCCCAACACTATCATTGATGGCAAATTGTGTTGCTATCAATATCAATTTCGTTTGAGAGTTGAGCTTCCCTCTCTGCCACGAATTGTTGGAGATATCCAACTTCTATGGGTTACATGGCCGCAATCCTCTTAATAAGAAAGGAGAAAATATTAGGGTTATTGAATATGTTCTTCACATTTACACGACGAAGACATATAAAGACGACTTGATCATGTTTTAATTGGAGAACAAGATTACAGAGTGTAAGCAATATTATTGCTTTGTCAGAAACAGGGATAAATTCCTAATCTGTTCTTTGCCCACGAAGTTTCCCAAGGAGAAGTTGAAGGTCGCAAAATTAAGGCATCGAGCATGAGATCTTTTGATATGATCAATGGGCTGGTACTTTAGGTTTGAAGCTTCATTGATTATTGGTTTTTCTAGAGGATGTTTACCAACAAGTGTTGTGTTATTTGTATAGATTACTCGTCACGTGTCACATTTTTCACATTTTCACTGTTTTGTTTCCCAACTCTCCTAACAAAAAGCTCCTCAAAGAGCAAAGAGATCATAATGCTCTTGAATGAAGAAGAGTGAGTAGAGAAGCCTAAAGAAACCCAATGCTAACCCCTATCTCGCATATCACCTTCTAGAATAATGTGAAACCAAAACCAAGCCCATCTCATTCAGGTAATACTCATGTAAGTATATGATTCCAAATGTAAAGTGGAGAGAAGGGTGAGGTGATGCCACCAATCGGGGTAGCCAAGCAAGTAGATGTGGGAGCATAAACAGAGTCTGACGACAATCAGAATGAGGCGCTTGGCAAGACAAAGGGTACAAGCCAGTTATTCAGCACGAGCACGCAAACCATATGACCACCTCAAACCAATCCTACACTAGTGACCAAACAACTTATGATTGTATAAGTGGATCTGATCCGAATTGACCTACAAATTGCCTCCACAAGTTGATGGGTCTAGGTCGATGCATCAAGAATTCTAGTGGAAGATTTTCTTGGATTAATGGATCAGCCTTGACCTATTAATTTTTTGAGTGCACTTCAACAGCAAAACTGCCAATTATTTAAAGGGATAATTACATCCATTGCATCCAATACTTTGTTCTTTACAAAATCTACCACCCAGGATATACTTTTGATAACCACCGAACCAATGATCAAATCATTGAGAATTTAATAAAAAGAAAAAAATATTAGGTTGGATCTTATCATGAATTGAAAAATATTTGAGCGAGATTTTAAAAAATTGATGAAAGAAGATGCTAGATTTGTAGATAGCAATGTTTCTGGAGCTATGTATGTAATTCCCCATTATTTAAAATATCGCTATCCTAATTGAATAGACTTTTTCAGAAGGAACCAAAAAGGTAATCACCTACTTTTTGCCACCGCAATATGTCCTTAAAAAAAAGTACTAGCATGCAATCAGGAATAAAATAAATATAACATCAGTAATTATTCAAATAAATAGAAGGAAAAGTGGAACGAAGAATATCAGCAGGCAATGTAAATAATATATAATATAAATAATGCAATCGTCAAATCTCTAATAAGATAAAATTCGGTGCAAACATTTATCCCTAACAAGGAAAGATTACTTGTGGGGAATTAGCACCTCACATCATATACAAACACCGAATAATCTTCTTTACAAACAAACCCCTACTCTCTCCATACAAAACTGACAGACGAACACAAACTCCAACTGGTCCCTGCATATTTTTAAGTAAATCTCAACAATACCTCGTTAACTAAGATAAACAAAGTTATGTGATCAGGAATCATTCAAATCGCATTAACCATTCAAAAAAGAGACACTTAATGAGAGCACATACCATCACTCAAATATGCCATAAAAGGCTTTGAGAGCTGGGAAATCAGCTTCAATGGAGAACATTAGCCGTCAATGTAAAGCATAATATTATCACCTCCACCTGCGAAGACAACTTGTTCACCCTCTTGTCTTTGCTCTCTTCATGCCAAGACTGTTATGAAAAGGGGATACAGAACCAGACATCTGAGAACTGTCGTCTCGGAGAGTGCCATTCAGCATGGCGAGCTCTCGTAGCTGCTGCTTCTTGATCATATCCTGCGACTCATCCTGTTTGTAGGTGGCAGGTGAAAGACGAGAGTTATTAATATTTGCATTATTGGGAGTACATTCAGTAGAACGTTGGAAGAGGGCAATACCACGGGTTTCAAAAGTTCTTCTAATATATCTCGAGCTTGTATCAAACGAGAATCAATGATTTCCACTGGCAATTCTGCATCTACTAAGATGTGGAGAGGTTCATTCAAGTGCTCATAGCCGGGCTTCCCTCTCATCATTTCCTCCTGAGATGTTACAAGCGACATGCAACATTTTCTTTACGTGCCAAAACAATTGCTTTAAAAATTTGTATTTATTTACGTATCATAATAGCAATAATTTTACAATGATTAGGAATTCTTTTACCTTTGAAATAAAGTAATGTGGTTATGACGAGGTAAAATATGAAAGTCAAACATGTTTTGCCATTTTTAAACAAGGTCTTACCTTCAGCAGCCTTTTTTTCCAACAAGAACCAAAATAGTCAAAACAATGAGCAAAAAGCAGGAAGTGACTTTTATGATCCCTAAGATAGGTTTTCAGAAATGTTTTTACCCGCGTGAAAATTCAGCATGAAATCTATCACAAAGGGAGCAAGCAAGTTCACTCCAATGCACCAAGTCGTCTGATATTTCTTGTTGCTAAGGTTAAACTTCATGCTAAATTTTTTAAGCAGATAAAAGGCAGTAAATTACTGTTGTTGGGATTGATTAAAAATCAGCATTGTAGGAACTTCAAGCATTCTATCAAAAGAGCTTACAGGTTTTGTTCTTTTTAATTGCAATTAAGTTGGATATTTTGTTTGGAAGAATGTTCTTTGTAATAATAAATTTATTACAATAATCAAATAAGTTCTCCAATTAAATGCTACGGAAGGTCTACCAATAGGAGTGCATATTCCAATGTCTGCAGTCCTCAGACTCACAAGCACTGTGGGACATTCAATTTCAAATAAGGAAACATAGAAAAATTCCACTCTTCCTTCGATTATTTTCTCTTTCTTTCAACTGAATTCCATTTGGTATGTTTTTAAGACCAATGTACTTTTTTGGCCGCAGCAAATGGAAAGCGTATTTATATTTTCCGCTGAACTGAATCCATATAGACTTTTAAATCAATGTATAGATATTTACTTTCACATCGAACCCTTAGAAATGCCAAATGCAAGGTTCCAAATCCCTTGAACCGGTTGACACTGTAAGAGGATAGTATCGGTCCCTAAATTTGATAGAAAAACCTCCAAATTTGGGTTTATGCCTCTTCTGCTACACTGCTCTTTTCAATTGAACAATCCCACCGATAGAGTAATTCATCAATTTTAACTCACTTCGGTAAAAGCTTGCAAAACTTGCCGACCTCACAAAGAAAGAGAAATCATGAACCAGATAAAAAATTTGCATTTTACCAGGGAGAAGCCAGATACTTGGCAAAATGATATAGAAAATAAGCTTTAATACAATTTTGTGGAAGAAGCCTAAAAAGAAATTTAAAAAAAAAATAAAAAAAAAGCTTCCATAGAAATTTAATTCAATGAATGCAAAAGATCCAAAGGTATAATTAAAGAATAATTAGGAAAGAGAATAAGAGAACATAGTATCTCACTCCAAAAGCAAACAACATTATTAAGGCGTTTTTAGGCATACGATGTCTTTAAGCCAATGAGACACGCATCATGCCATGGGTTAAAAAAATTGAGCCAACACTTAGAACAAAAAATAAAAATTAGCCTTTTAAGATAAAAAATTGGATTCGGAAGGTATGGAAAGAACATTAAAACTGACAAAAAAGGATGCACACTAGAAAGTTAGTTACATTACCTACAAGAGTAAGAGTTCGAACTTCAAGATTAAAAAATGCCTTTGTTTGGTTGCTTCATATTTTCTTCCTCAACATCATTATAGAGTTTCTCATTCCTGTGTTTTCTTATTCACTCAGTTTTGGCATGCAGCTATAAGTAAACAGCTTGGTTTTATTTTATTCTTGTTTATTGCACGATAGCAGGGATTGAGCTTGCTTTAGAAATTATTTAATGTTAGATGGAAGTTGGAACCTACTGTTTTCTCTGAAATTAAGGCTGAAAACTTGTTCTTGTTGCTAGAATGGAAGCATGTTAAATAGAAGCTTGATTTTAGGCCAAATCTCAAAAGTATTCCAAGAAGTTACTAATTTTGAATCTTTTAGGTTATAAATAAATCATTCAGACATGTTAAATGTATTACATTGTAGACAAATTTTTTATTTTCTTCTCAATTCTAGTGTGCTGTTTAATCTATGATATTTAATCATTTTGCAAATCTTGACCACAAATTCTGGAGAAGATTCTCGTTATATCAAATTGAGGACTACATCTTCAATTGATGGCCACTAAAATTTGTTCTTCTATCAAACTATTTTGTGAATGATTTTTGTGTGATTGAAATTTCATTAAGTTTACTACATATTAATTTTATTTTTATGATGTGAATATTAATCGTTGAAGAATTTTATATTCGCTCCCAAATTTCTGGTAGAAATTCATATTTTGTCCTCCATTATATTTTTGTTTTGAACGAATTAAATGAGCTTTCTGATTATCAATATATATATATATATATATACCTAAATTAAAAGAACAAAAAACTGAATTGTGATCTTTTATGCAGTTTTTTACGCATCACATACAAATTTTGCATCAATGAATCCAAGATGTTAAAACAGTCTACATCACGTAGACATCATTTTAGCTATAAATCAAATATAAGAATTATCAAAGAGTAAGAACTTAACATTTTTGTGAACTTGAAGATTCTTTTTCAATCTTCCTTTTATAATTATGTTCATGACAGCTCTTATTTCCATCAGCATGAGCCGTAACATATTCAAGAATACCAACGCTATGAAAAGGTTATCAAGCAAATCATAGATATTTAGGTTGAAAAGCTTCAACTGCAGTTTCATCTTGCGTCAAAGTTCTATAGAGGAACCATTCAAACAATGATGCTACTTAGAAAATCAAAGAAGAGACGTTTGAAAGTATCCTCAACTATTTGAGAACTAAATGATTTAAGAGAATATGATTTTTATCACATTCTTCCTTCCCATAGAATGAAAACAACAAGGCATAGAGAGCAGTTAAGGGCCACTTCCCTCTTGTTCTCATCGTAAGTCCCAACAAGTCAGTGCAATCCTCCCCACAACTTCCTTCTCCTTCATCAATAGACCACAAAATCATGTTCTCTTCATTCATACATGGATCGTAGCCCATAGTCCCATCCTTCATTGATAGTGCGAAAAGTTGCCTCCGTTCCCCCGCAATCAGCTCTTCATCTTTGGCTTTCTAACAGACTATGAAGATTTGAGCAGGAAAAGTGTTATTTCTTCATCTCCTCAAACCTATCCTCAAACATGATTTATCCTCAAATAACCTTGTCATTGCTTTCCTCTCTCTTCTACAATCACTAGAATGAATCCCCATTATCATCACATAGAAATCATCTATTGCCCTTCCCTTCACGTTATCATATCATTAGCTCACAACTCATCAGCTTCCCACCATTTTCATGGGCGATGTTGTACATTATGTAATTTAACAGATTCATTATCAAATGTGTAACTAAATCTTATGATTTGACAATTGTGCTTGCAAAGATCTCTTGCATGTTATTAATTATATGTTTGTTTATATTACTAAGAAGAATTTAACCTAAATCATGCTAATATAGGCTTACTACTCCAATCTTAACTAATTAATGCTAAAATCATGGGTTAATAACTTAAGCTTAGGATTTTATTTAGCTAATTATAGGTATTTTAACACGTATTTAATTATTTTGGCTCGATAGATGGATATGAGTATACATATAATTAACATAGAGCTTTTTTTTAGTGTTTATAAATTACACAAAGTCTGGTGTAATTTCTATGAATCTTAGCTAAATGATACATTCAATTAGCAGACCTCAAGGAAGGTCGCTTGTATTTATTAAAAGATAAACATATTTTTTGAGGTATAACCATTGAAATTATTGTAGAATTTATTCAATTTTTATGTGCCTACCTATAATATGCTTGGTAGCAATAGTTATTCCTACTTGGATGAAAAGTATTACTTTAGGAAATAAGAATTCATGTGATTGGCATCTTTTATAACATAGATGCATACCTTCAATAGTCGAGCACGAGCTTGAACATGCAGCACATTGATTGGAAACAATTAAAGAATCCAAAGAAGCTCACATTATCTTAAGAAAAAAAAAAAGAAAGCCTCTAATGCTCTAGCATTAATAATACTTTTCCAACATTTTGTGGGCATTATTGTTTAAATAAATCTTATTACTTGACATTTAATATGTTAAATATTCATGGTCCACAGAAATTTTTACTTATTGTTCTTGACATTTTTTGCATAATTTACATGTTTGATGGATTTTGATCATTTATGTTGCCCAACTGACTAACAAATTACTGGTCAAATTCGTTGTTCAGCCTTATAAGTAGATTGATGACTCTAATGAGAAGAAGAGTCCACGGACTCTACTAACTTGGTGATGACTTTCCTATTGATTCAAACTTGTTGTATTGCACTGACATGAGATATGACATTTATAGATAAAACATTTCTTGACCATGCACTTACATACAAAAATATACTGTGAATGCTGAACAATTACTTTATGACATAATGACTTACAAGCACATAATTTTTAACTAGTTTTATAGCATATTCTCTGTTTCAGACATTTGTTTAAAGTTTTGCTTGGTTCTTAAGTCATAAATTTTACCTGCACTGATACGCGAGATGCGACAATTTCTACCAAATAGCTTTAGATTAAGTATTGAATGCTCCAAGGTTTTCAAAGTAGATATCATAGTTTTACTCACGATACTCAATTTGATCGGTTACCTTGTTTCCTACGTATCTAAAACAATCCTCGTGCCTACTTATTGGTAACTTGCCTTGTTTTCTAATTTCAACTAATAAATTAGTTGAGATAAACTTTTATCATTCAAAAAATTTAAGACAAAAGATGTAATGGTTCTTCGATGTTAGATTATTCATGTTACAAATGCATGGATAAAAAGTTCCTATCATATTCTAGCCATTCTTAAGTATTACCATGTAAATTCCTTTCATTGTTATAAAATCACTTAGTTTTAACCTATGGACTCGTCTAATGAGTTAAAAACAAGTCCCTCATATCCCAAGTTGACCATGTGTTTCTCCAAGGAAATGAGGCCTGACAACCAAGTCCTTTTATTAAGGCATGACACCATATTTGCTTAAAGTTAAATGTTTGAATCCAAGATAAGTTGCATAACACAAAGGATGCGGCATTAATATTCCACGGCGTGAGAGCATATATTAAATGGAAATTTCTTCACAAATATTCTCATAGAGATGTACACAGTGAAGTTAATGGTAAATAACTCTTAAAATTGAATTTACTGAGTAATGGTAAAAGTCAACTCGGGCCAACCAGGCAAAAATGTAACAAGCATATAATTGTAAATTTATAAAATGTTTTTGGAGTCTATAAAGCTACTCAATCATTTAGCATACTAATAGAGCTAGATATCTACCACCATAGCAGTGGCACTAAACCTGCATATATGCAGTACAGTGTTTGCTAAATATGATGTAATGAAATTTGAAATATTATACTAGAAGTAAAAAATACAGAAAAAAATTTAAGAAAAAAATTACCCGATTTGGATCTTTGATGCTACCACGTCCTCTTATTAAGACACGACACTCGGTACTAGCTTCCACCCGTTTGAGAGAATTTCCCCGTGGACCGAGAAGACGTCCGACAAAATTGTACTGTAGAAACAAAAACAAACAAATGATAAAAAATGAAAAAATATCCATACAAGCAGGAAAAAAAATACTAATCAAAGATTTAACCAACAAGAGTACATACATTAGGGTACTTGTCTACAGGAATATCAACCCTGATGGTTTTTTTAATAATGATACCAGAAGAGCCACCAGGTGACCCAAGCCATCCATGTCCTGAAGGAGATTGCATCATTCCTAACCTCTACAAATTACCCAAAAAAAAATATCTCATTAAATATTTCAAAAAATGACATTAAATATAAATAATTGAAACAGATACATCTAAGGCTTGGATGCAGATTAAAAAAGCATAAAAAACGATATATA